GTTCGTGATGTTTGAGAGTTGCAGTTTTTGTTATTTCTATTATCATTGATTTTTTTGTTGTTGTGTGTTGTTGTTTTTCTTATTGTTATTGTTGTTGTTTTCATTAGTAGTAGTAATGATGGTGATGGTGATGATAGTAATGATTATGATGATGATTATAATGATAAGGATGATAATGATAATAATGATGAGGAGGATAATAATGATAGTAATAATATTGATAATAATAATGATGGTAATGGTAATAATAATGATAATAATAACAATAATAATAATAATAATAATAATAATAATAGTAATAATAGTGATAGTAATAGTGATAATAATACTAATAATGCTCATAATATCAATATTATTATTATCATCTGTATGATAAATTTGCATGTGTTTCGTCCGTTCATTCGCAGACATGCTCAAAATGTCTGCGGAGTTGAAGTCGCTTCATTTTAATGTAAAATAGGGTGATAATTGGCAACATGAATATTAAAGAGTGACACACATACACACACACACAAACGCATACACAGACACACACACACACACACACGCACACACGTACACACACACACACACACACACACACACATCTTATTACAAACCCATTAGAATCCTTTTCTAACTCTATTATCATTCTTCTTATGATTATTATTACTATCATTATAATCATTATCATCGCTATTATTATAATTCTATTACAATTCTGCTTGTGTTTCGTCCCTTCGCTCGTACGCTATATTTAACCACCATACAAGCGCGAGGCAAGTACACTGCGCTGAAGTAATTAGACCGTAAGTTTATGAACATTTATTATTTATTTATTTATTATCATTTTCCATTTATTGTTTATTATTTATACGACTACCCGAGGCGGTGGATAAGGAGAAAGGTAGGAGGGAGGGGGTTAAGGGAAGATGAAGAGGGAGAAGAAAAGGGACTTGAAGAAGAAAGGAGGAAGAGGGAGGAAGGGAGGGAATGGAGGACTTGAAGAGGAAAGAAGGAAGAGAGGAGAAAGGAGCTTAAATAGAAAAGAGAGACAGGGAAGAAGAAAAGGAAAGGGAACGGAAGGGAACTGCAGAGGAAAGGACGATTGGTAAGGAGAAATAGAGGGGGAAGAGAGGAGCTCAGAGAGTAATAAAGGTGGGAGGAAGGAAGAAAGGGGATAAGAGAGCGAATTAACTGCGGGAGGAAGAGGAGGAAGAGGAGTAAGAGGGGAGAGGAGGGAAATGGGAGAAGGCAGATGTAGGGCTTGAAGTGGGAAGAGAGGAGTGAATTCAAGGAAGATTTGGGAGTAAGAGGAAGTGGAAGAACGTGAAAGGGAAAGGTAGATGGAGAGGGAAAGGTAGGAGAAGGATCATCATTTTCATTATCATTATTATTGATATTATAATAACTCTTATTATTGATAATCTTATCATTGGTGCTATTATCATCATCATTATTATTATTATCATTATTATTATTATTATAACTACTATTATTGTGTCTTTCCTTTTTCATCAATAACTTGAGAAGAGGATGGGAAGAAGGGGGGGGGGTAGAGGTGAGGGGAGAAGAGAAGAAGAGAGGGGACGGAAGAAAATAAGTAAACTACTTTACCCTTGTGCCTTCAGTCAATTTTCGACTGTCTGTTTATTTTTGCTTCTAAATTACTCCCTGTGTGCAAGGAATGGCCGGGGTTACCATCCGCTGGCAGTACGGGTCAGTAAGAATGCTAGACGAGAACGCTACCACTGCACCACACAGAGGGGAGGAGGAGGGAATGGGGAAAGGAGAGGGTAAAAGGGAAGGGAGAACGGGAGAGAGGGGAATGGGGAAGGGAGAGGGGAGAAGAGGTAAATGGGGAAAGGAGAGGGTAAAAGGGAAGGGTGAGAGGAGGAGAGGGGAATGGGGAAGGGAGAGAGGAGGAGAGAGGAATGGGGAAGGGAGAGGGTAAAGGGGAAGGGGGAGGGGGAGAGAGGGGAATGGGGAAGGGAGAGGGGGAGAGAGGGGAATGGGGAAGGGAGAAGGGGAGAGAGGGTAAAGTGGAAGTGAGAAGGGAGGAGAGGGTAATGGGCAAGGGAGAGGGTAAAGGAAAGGAGAGGGTAGAGGGGAGGCGATAGGAGAGGGGATATATTTTGCCTTAATAAATCGTGCAATCGACTTCCCATATTTTCATTTCTTGTTCGATTTTTGCCTTCTTTTGGAATGTTAATGCTGAGTGACGTATGATCGCATGATTTATACTTGTTTTACATGTAAGAGGAACATGAAAGGGGAAGACGGAGAGGGAAGAGGAGAGGGGGAGGAGCAGAAGCAGAAGCAGGAGAAGGAGGAGGAGGAGAAGGAGAAGGAGAAGGAGGAGAAGGAGAAGGAGAAGGAGGAGAAGGAGAAGGAGAAGGAGAAGATGGAGGAGGAGGAGGAGGAGGAGGAGGAGGAGGAGGAGGAGGAGGAGGAGCAGCAGCAGCAGCAGCAGGAGGAGGAGAAAGAAAAGAAGAAAAGGGAGGAGGAGGAGGAGGAGGAGAAAGAAAAGGAGAAAAAGGAGGAGGAGAAGGAGGAGGAGGAGAAAGAAAGAAAAGGAGAAAAAAGAGGAGGAGAAGGAGGAGGAGGAGGAGGAGGAGGAGGAGGAGGAGGAGGAGGAGGAGGAGGAGAAGAAGAAGAAGAAGAAGAAGAAGAAGAAGAAGAAGAAGAAGGAGATGGAGGGAGGAGGAGGAGGAAGAAGAAGAGGAAGAAGAAGAAGAAGAAGAAGAAGAAGGAGGAGGAGGAAGAGGAGGAGGAGAACAGGGAGGAGGAACAGGAAGAGGAAGAGGAGGAAGAGAAGAAGAAGACGAAGAAGAAGAAGAAGAAGAAGAAGGATTAAGTGAGGAAGAAAGCAGTTTGAAGAACAGGAGGAGAAAGAAAAAAAAGAGGGAGAAAAAAATAAAGATAAGGAGGAGGAGGAGGAGGAAGAAGTAGAAGAAGAGACGGAGGATGAGTAAGAGGAATACCAGCGTTAATAGTCGTCAATGGAAGTATTTACATTAAACGTATCTCTTCGTAAACAAGAGCGAAAATGAGGAGGTGGAATGAGATGAAGATGAGGAAGAAGAGGAGGAGAAGGAGAAGAAGGAGAAGGAGAAAGAGGAGGAAGAGGAAGAAGAAGAAGAGAAGGAGGAGGAGTTCTTATGGAGTTACTGTTAAATCGTTACGCCGTCTCTCTCCGCCCATCATAAATTATGTAATTCTCCCCAACCCCCACCACCAACCCCTCCCCCTCCCCCTCCCCCTCCCCATCTTTACGTTCATGCTCCCCTGCTGTTTTTTCCCTCATCATTCCTCCTCCTTTTCTTCCTAATTCGTCATTCCCCCTCTTCTCCATTTTTTTCGTTCTACTTCTTGATTTCCCTTTCTCTTCTCCTTCCACTCCCTTTCTCTCTTTGTCTCTTCTCTCATTTCTCTAATTTCCTTCTATCCCTCTTCCATTCTCTTCCTCTCCTGCAGTTTCCATATTCCCCAGCTCCTCCCTTCTTTTCTTCATTTCCTCTTATTCTCTTTCTCTTCCTCACCCCCGCTCCTTTTCCCTATTTCCTTCCTCTCACTCTCATTCATCCTTCTCCTTCTCTGCCTCCCCTTCTACTCTCTTTCTCTCCTTCATTATCTCCCATTCTCTCTCCCTCTTTCTTCCCCCATCCCCTCGCCCATTCTCTTAGTCTCTCCCTTTCCCCATTCTCTCCCTCTCCTTTGCTCTTCCCCTCTTCTCTCCTTCTCCCTTTCTATCTACTTCCTTTCTTCCTGTCTCCCCTTCTCTCTTCTCTTCCCAACGCCATACGAAGATCAACAGCTCATGCACGAAAAAAGCGCTAAGCCACCACACTTGCGTTGCCAGTGAATAATAAATATTATCGATGTATAAAGTGAACAGCTGAGTGGGTGGCGTTTAAGAGGCAGTTTGAATAATTAAATAGGGAGCAGAGTTTATAGCCTTCCTGTGTTATGTACATTCGCTGGCTTTTTTGTACATAATGCTCTGTCACGATCCGGTAACGTGGCTTATTCGTGCAAGCTAGATCCGTTAGCGTCTAGCCACAATTAGTCGTATTACAGGTTATCATTATGCAATATGGTTTGTAAGATAGAGTGTTCATAATCCGTACTGTCTATGACGTTTCTTGAATAACATGGGGAGCTTAAGAGAAAAAAAAAGATCTATGTAGGGGGAAAAAACTAATGAGATAATTAGCTGGATACATAAACTGAAATGGAGTTCATTTACATTGTGCTTAATGGGTAAAGTACACAGACGCTCTAAAAGTTGATCACTAGGGTAATTGTGCTCGTTATAAAGCAACATTAACAATCGTAAAAAAGAAGGAGAGAGAGAATTTTACACACACACACACACACACACACACACACACACACACACACACACACACACACACACACACACACACACACATACACACACACATACACTCACACACGCACACATGTATGTATATATTTATTTATTCCTATATATGCACACACACACACATACATGCATATATATATATATATATATATATATATATATATATATATATATATATATGTGTGTGTGTGTGTGTGTGTTGTGTGTGTGTGTGTATGTATATACATGTACATGTATATATACACACACACACACTATGTATATATATATATATATGTATATGTATATGTATATGTATATGTATATATATATATATATATATATATATATATATATATATATATATATATATGTGTGTGTGTGTGTGTGTGTGTGTGTGTGTATGTATATACATGTACATGTATATATACACACACACACACTATGTATATATATATATGTATATGTATATGTATATGTATATATATATATATATATATATATATATATATATATATATATATATATGTGTGTGTGTGTGTGTGTGTGTGTGTGTGTGTGTGTGTGTGTGTGTGTGTGTTGTGTGTATGTGTGTGTATGTATATATTAATTTATTCATATATATGTGTGTGTGTGTGTATATGTATATACA